ACGTGTGGGTGAGCTCGGCTTGCGGTCCCTCGGTCATAAGGCGCGTTAGGTGGGTACCCATGGCAGCCTCGGCCTCCTCGAGGACCGGCGCCACATGCTGCGGCCAGCGCGCCAGGAGGTCCTTGACCATCCCGACCTTCTGGCTTCCCTGCCCCGTGAACGCAAGACAGCGCCGAGCCATGTTCCCAAATGAAGCTTCGGCGAATGGCTGTATCAGTCCATTGCATATATAAATCCGTAGGTTTGTATTGAAACCAATTCAATACCAACTCTCATATCAAAGTATGCAGAGCAAGCGCTCACATGGAATCCATCAAGATCGTCGTCCGCTGTTGCCATGGGAAGGCATGGGCCCACGAAGAGAGAGGCATTGATGATGGTGTAGAGACGACAAGCAGCTCCACGCACTACCATAGCAAGGACCTATCTTGTCTCTCAACGTGACCACGCAATCCATACCCGCCACCGGCGTACCGTCCATGTTTTAAAGCTTGGACCAGCGTCTCGGTCTAACGCGCTGCTCCCTCCTCCATGCAGCAGGTGCATTTTCTCCACATTTTGCCCTTCTCGTCGCCGGCAAGCCCACGACGAGCTCCTTGCTGCTTGGGTCTTCTGGGCTCGCATCCCCGAACGCTACCTACTATGGAACCGGTTCACGTGTGCTGCACCAACCGGTTCCGGTTATCAGAAGGGTCAAACTATCCGGATGGCCAAAGGTCTCCAGCATAATTTACAAGCCGTCAGCAACCAGCAGCCGCGATGGCCCGCACGAAGCAGTCGTCGCGGAAGTCGACGGGCGGGAAGGCGCCCCGCAAGCAGCTCGCCTCGGACCAGATCAATAGAATGTCGTCGTCCGGCGGCGTCAAGAAGCCGCACCGCTTCCGCCCGGGCACGGTCGCGCTGCGCGAGATCCGCAAGTACCAGAAGAGCACGGAGCTCCTCATTCGCCGGCTGCCTTTCCAGCGCCTCGTGCGCGAGATCTCGCAGGACTATAAGACAGACCTGCGCTTCCAGTCAACAGCGATGCTCGCGCTCCAGGAAGCCTGTGAAGCCTACCTTGTCGGGCTCTTCGAGGACACCAACTTGTGCGCCATCCACGCCAAGCGCGTCACCATCATGCCCAAAGACATCCAGCTCGCTCGACGTATCCGTGGCGAGCGAGCGTAAGCAGTAGCATTATATACAGAACCGCCATTCTCTCTGGTGCGACTCGACCTGGCCTCGCTTCAAGTCCCAGCACACGCTCTGAGCACCAGGTTAACCGCAGAGACAGGCAGCTCGGTTTCCGACAACGCTTCAAATGGCTTGTGTCGGCGCTACTTTGCCTCGCGGCAGATCAATGACCTGCTGCACTCGCCACGGAGTGGCGCTCGGCTTCTACGCTATCACTTGCGACGGCGAGCCAAGTGGTTGCAATCTGGTCCAATTGCCCACCTCCGACGCGTGCACGTGCGTCCAGCGGTCGCATTGCAGCGCGGTGGCTGATATCGCTGACGGTGCTTGCGTTCGGCGCTTGAGAGGTACCAAATCCGGCCCTACGTCGTTCGATTACACATCGTTCTTCAACGCGTGACTCCTCATGTTCGATGCGTCGTGAGATATCCTTCCTGCGGAGCCATTGGCGGTGTCTTCTTCGCCGACTGCTCGCCCATCCCTCACTCGTCCTACTTGTATGTGCATATCATAGTCCACGCGCGGCGCCATCGGGTAGTGACAGCAGCGACGCTTGCTTGTCAAGAGCTGGACTCTAGCCATCTGTCTTGGGCATGTACTACGTCCGCCGCTGGCAGCATGGCGCCATCGCTGCAGCGGAAGGCAGAGAGAAGCCATCGACCTCCGTCCTGAAGGCCGCCTTCGCAGCCTGTTCGTTGGTTTGGTCGGTGGTGCGATATGTCTTGTGCGACTTGATTTTTGTATGATGGAAACGCCTTTACGCTGCGCAAAGCCATCTGTAACAGGTGCTGGCTCGCGCCCGCCACTTTGAGATGCGGTCGATGGACAAGGTACGCAGGCCGAGCGCGTAGAGCCGCTCGCTCACGCAGGCGCGCCTAGGACGACGCGACGCTGGCCGCGTCGTTGCGAGACGACTCCGACTTCGACGCGGCGATGGCGCTACTGACGGTCCGTGCATTGCGCCAATATGTGCTCGTACTGGATGATGGCGTAGCCGTCGGCCGACGTCAAGCAGCTCCTTCCGTCGCTCGGCGTGCTCCTTGGTGAGTCGTTGCACCCATTTCTGTGCGCCGTCGTGGCCAAGGAAGTCCAAGAAGCCGCCGAGACGCCAAGCATCGAGCTCTTCCGCGCCAACTCGCCCGGCATGCGCGTACGATACCTGAAGCGTCGGACGGATGCGACTGAGGCTCTTGCTGCGTCGTAGCTGCTCAGCGAGTTCTCGTACCTTGTCGGCGACGCGTACTTTCGCAGCGTGCTGCTCGCGCCGCTCGAGTCGCTGTACGACAGCAGCGAGAGCTACGAAGTCAACGAGAACGTGTCGCTGGACGTCCTCAGCGCCAACCAAGCGCGGCTCCAAGCCACAGCCCAGGCGATTCTCGACAGGTTCGCCTGACCCACACGGCGTTGCGGTCTCAGCGAGATCATATATGTCGTAGTCTCCTGGCAGCCGAGTGCCCGGCGCCGCTGGCGCGCGTCTGCCTCGCGTTTCGCCGCTGCGTCGCGACAACGTTCCACACGTACACGGACGCCGCACTCGGCGGCTTCCTCTTCCTGCGCGTGCTCTGCCCCGCGGTCGTGGTGCCAGCCAAAGTACGTCTCTTTCCCGGTCGACCCATGCCGCCGATCGCCCGCCGCGCGACCGTCCTCGTCGCCAAGCTGCTGCAGAATCTCGTGCGTCCAACATATTCTCCAAGCCGACGCTCAGTGGCGCAAATAGGCCAACAACGTGCTCTTCGGCGCCAAAGAAGAGTACATGACGCCCTTCAACGGCTTCATTCGGAAAAACTACGCGGCCGTCGTCGCCCTCTACGACCGCATTTGCGCGAGCACGACCGAGGTCGCTCCGTACACGCTGCCGACGTCCATGTCCCTTCCAGCCGCGCTCGAGGTACACCCGACTCGCGCTGCCGTCGCTGCCAACGCCCTCGAGTCTAGGTCGTCAAGCGCGAGCGCGCCAAGGCAGCGCCCATCAACAAGACGGAGCTGCTCCTGGCGCAGTCGACAGAGCCCACGGTGCTCATGTCGGCGCCAATCGACCGGTCGTCGCACACGAGCCACCGCCAGAGCAACGTGCGCGATCGCACGTCGCAGCTCACGCGGACCTTTGGCACGTTCGTGCAGCGCAGCAGCACTTTTTTCATGACGTCGCGCGGCGAAGGCTCGTCGACGCGCGCCGAGACAACGCGTCACGGGCCGCTGCCGTGGCGCGACGTGAAAGCGCGCATGGGCAGCCTCAACACCAATGACGTGCGTCTGCGGCATAGCCAGTACATGGATGTACGTACACCTGTCACGATGACAGACCACCTTCTTCACGTCGTGCGGCATAGTGCATCCAGCGCGGCGTCGCGTACCTGACAACAGCGTCGGCCGAGAACGACGACGCCTCGTCGTGGCGGCCGCTCAAGCAGAAGCACGGCGTGCAGCTCTGGACGCGCGACGTCCAAAACATCTCCGAAGTCCGGTGCGACCTCCTTCCTGACACTCTCGGAGGCTCATCGGATTTCTTGTTGCAGCGCCTCGGTGCTCGTTCGCACCGACAAAAAAGTGTGCTTTAGCTACCTCTGCTCGTCGCGCGGCCGAAAGACTTGGGGTCCGGGCTGGAACTACGAGCGGTACCGCTGCCCGAGCCATGTCCTGTGAGAACTCACACACATGTAGTGAGGTCGAGCTCGTCGACCATACCACCCGCGTCCTCTACAAGTCGACGAACGGCAGCAGCCGGCTATGGAGCTTCAGCGCGGACCTCGATATTGCGCTCTTGGAGAGCGCTGGCTACGACGCCGACCGACCCGCGACGCTCGTGTTTCAGAGCGTCTCCCGCAGCGACGTGCCACCGGTGCAAGGCTGCACGCGCGTCGAGCTCCGCGCGAGCGGCTTTGTGCTGCGCGGCGAGGGCCCGGCAGAAACGAGGCTCTCGGTCGTCTACCGCTCCGACATGGGTCAGCACGCAAGGTGGACTAAGCACGCGCTAGCCCTTGCGCGCGTCAAACTCGACCTCGAGACGTAATTTAAGACAGAGTAGCATGCGATTCGGTTAGTGCGGGAGGATCCCGTGCAGGTACTCGTAGCTCGCAAACGGTTCGCTGCAGAGGCATCGCGTGAGGCGCAGCGTCCACTCGGCCGTCGCGTGGAGCGCCGCGCACCCGAGGTACACACAGACAACGCCAGCGCCGAGCCGCAGGAGCAATGGCCTACACGCCACGTTGAGAGACGATGCATGGAGTACGATGGACGCACTCGACGGGCGGCACGGACACGAGCGACGCGAGGCAGTAGGCACCCGCCGTCAGCAATATGCTGGGCGACACGAGTGCCATCGCAGCGACCAGAAGCTTCCCGCCTACGTCAGCCGCGGATGAGCTCGATGCGGTTGGAGCATTTCGGTACCGCCAAAGTAGACCAGCATCGCCTTGGAGACGCCGTGCGTCATACGAAACCCTTCCATCGACGACGTGGCCGTGCCGCTGCCGAGCTCAAAATGCACAAAGATGCGTTTGGACGACGACTGCAGCGGGTGAAATGAGGAGGAGGAGAGGAGCCTCTGGGACCGCACCTGGCGAAAGGCGCCGTCGTCGTGGCGAGCCGTGAAGTCGATGAGGCGGTTGTACAGCTCGACCTCAAGCAGCACCATCCAGTGCGTCTAAAGAGAAGTGACGTCGTGAGGTGTGATAACTTCCTGGCGTGGTGACGGACCGTCTGGACGACGGGTGCGTCTGTGCAGAGGAGGAGCGAGAAGAGGCCGAATGTGAGCACAAGCGCCGCGCTGAGGATGGCGAGGAGCACGTTGAGCACGAGGTACAGCAGCACGCGGTACGAGGCGCCTTGGAAGGGCAGGCCGATCCACGCCGTGGGCTTGGCCGCACGGGCCTTTGGCGCGGCGACCGACCCGTACATGGTCGTCTAAAATTAATTCTGCATCCTCATTGGCGCGTCATTGGCGCGTCATTGGCGGCCTGTCTACTACCGTCCACGCGCGTCCACGTTGAGCCTCGCGCGTCCACGTTGAGCCGCGCAGACCGTCGTACGTCTTTCTGAGGTCGATAGTGTCATGGAGCTGGCTTGCTCAGAGACGAGGCAGCGTGCACAAGGCCATGAAGATCCAGCGCAGGTGGTGTCGACGGCGTCCCGGTTAAGTGCGTACAGTACACTGCAATGTCGAAAGGTCCATCTGCCGAAATTAGGTGGGTCGAAGATGGCATGTGCCACATAAAAACACCATCGCGTTCAGAGGAGCTTCTCGGGCGTAATTTCAAACGTGGCGAGCATGTCGTGGGCCAAGTAGGGCGAGAAGAGCACCTTGAGCGACCGTACATTGGCGTGGCGCGTCTTGGCAATCTGGAAGCTAAGCTCAAAATGTGAAGATGACGAGCGGTGAGCCACGGACCGTTGGTTGACGCAGGAGGACCACGCGAGCCCAAGCGCGGGCACGGCGGCGTCGCGGTCGTCGACCTTCATGTTGGCTGTCATTTGGTTGACGACGACAAACGCGACGTTGAACCGCGCGGCGAGAATCCGCATGCAGTTGACCATCTCGAACATGACGCGCGTGCGGTCGCCGGCCTCGGACGCCGACTCGACCGAGACGCCGCGGAAGACGGCAGTGATCGCGTCAATGACGACGAGACGTACGTTGCGCTGGTCCAAAAGTGGCGGCAGCCGTGTCTTCTATACATGGAAAGACTCAGACAGGCTGCTTGACGAGGTGGCACCAACCAAGGCGTGGAGAAGCTGCGGGGCGTCTGTTGCAGCCTCGAGGAAGATGTGGTCCAGCGACACGGGCTGCGCAGAGGCGCTCGCGAGCTGGTCGAGCCGCTTGAGAGGTGAGAGTCCGTCCGAGTACATGTAGCAGCTGCTGGCTTCGAGGCCGCCGGATTCACGGGGCAGCTGGGCGCGCAGTAGCAGCTGCAGACAGAGCTGTGTCTTGCCGCTGCCAGCGACGCCGCAAATCTCGGTCACGAGGCCGGTCGGGAACCCGCCCTCGAGCAGTCGATCGACAGCCTCGCAGCCAGTCGCGACGGTCGCCGGCTCCTGGATCGCAATCGCTTGCATTCAAGTGGCGTCTGATTGGGCGAATAAACGGTGATTTTCAGCGAATCACAACGCACATCATCGGTTTCGTGCTATTCTACGGTACCTGCGGCCGCGACCGACATGTCGGCGGGAAGAGAAAGCGAGTAGCTCGACGAGTCTCGCACGCGCCGCGACGCCTGCGCGCAGAAGCCGTCGCATGCTGGCTTCCAGCGCTCATGGATTTCAGCCAATCACCGAACGCAATGCATCCGCAAGCCAATGGCACGCTGCCATGTTGCACGAGTTTGATCCAATCGCCTTCAAGATGCGATCTGCAATTGAGGTGGGCATGGTGGTCGTCGAGCACGTGATTGGCTATTTATCCGGATACGATGTGTGATTGGCTTGGATTGAGAGAATGCGTTCCGGGTTCGAAAGATTTTGTTCGAAAATCCATGCTTTTGATGATCGGTAAGAAGCCAATTTCGCCACGAGCCCGCAAGCCAGCATGAGCCTCCGGTCGGGCATGAGCGTGCAGGACCTCAAGATGATGACAGCCGAGCGCGAGTACCGCATCATGATGGAGCAGCTCTCGTCGTCCTCGTCGTCCTCGTCGGCGTCGTCGCCGAGCTCCAAGCGCAGCGGGTCCTTCTCGAGCGGCGTGCACGTGTCATCGCCGCGCTCGACGCATAGCTTTAGTCTATCGGAAGGAAGCGGCTCGCCGAGCCCCGTGGCCAGCCCTGTGCTGGCGCCGCAGCGACCACCGTCTCCGCCGCCGATGCAATTGCCGCACTATTACGCCCCTTCGTACGGCTACAAGAGCGCCGAGCAGCGCATGCTCGTGACCTGCGGCGGCCAAGTGGTGTCGCTCATGGAGGGCGTCCGGAACGTGCCGCAAGAGTGCTGCATCAGCCTCTAAGATGTCGTGTACAACTCTGTCCTGGGTGTCCTTCTGTAATATAGCGTGATTCTTTATTCTCATCGGAGCACGGCGTCGAGGCTCGCGAGCACCTCTTTCTCGGTGAAATACTCGGTCGTTTGCCCCGTTTTGCCCGAGATGCGGGCCACGTCCGGCAAGAGCAGCACCGGCAGCGCACCGCGGCGCGCATCGACGCTGCGTGGCGCCAATGGCCCCGCTGGCAGCGATCGGATGGGCGCAGCACCCGTCCACGGTGTAATGACGCCGCCACACTGCTCAGTGGCCTCGTAGAGCTAGTGCATGGCTCTCACATCTCGCGTTTCAAGAGCAGCTGTACCTGGTTCATCAAGTGCCAAAAGCGCTTCCAGATCATCTGCATGGTGTGCTGGCCGGGACTGCCGCGCATCACTTGGAAGCCGGCGTAGCCTTGGACAAGGCATTTGAGGCAGCCGCAGCCCGCGCCTCGGCAATTGCGCAGTGCGTGGGTCGGCGGGCAGTCGCGCGCCAGCGCCTCCAGCGTCCCGACAAAGAACGGATGCAACAACGGCCAGACCTACAGGCATCAGATCGTAGTTCTCGTTGGCGGCACGACGGTACCATGTCGAGGTCGGCGAGCGAGTTGACAGTGGCGCCAATGTCGTCGTCGGCCTCCCACGCCTTCTCATCCAAACCGTTTTCCTTGGCGACGCTCAGGAACGTCTCGGCGTCAATCGAGTCGCTGCCCGTGCGCCGGAGGGTCTCGCTAAAGAGCAGGAGGACGTCGGCGTCGTCGAGGCGCTTGTCGATCGAGAGCACAATGCGCTGGAACTCGGCAAAGCTCAGGACGCCGTCGCCGTTGTTGTCGCCGGCGCGGAAGGCGTCGCGCAAATGAGCTTCGCGGCGGCGTTGCTCGTCGCGCCACTCGGCGACGACGAGGTCCAAAAACACATCGGCGGCCACCACCTCGTCGCCGACGTCGGCGCGCGGGCTCTTGCCATGCAGTAGTTTTTCGAGAAACGCAGAAATCGCCGCGGGCCGCATCGACGCGAGGCAGTGCACCGACACGTCCATGGCGCGCTCGAGGGAAATGTCCCAGTCGGCGCGGTCGGGCACTGGGAGGCGCGACGCCCGGCCCTTCTTGGGCGCGTCGTCGTCGACGTCCATCTCGAGCATCGTCTCGAGGCAGTTGAGATAATGGCGCAACTCGGCCGCCGGCACTTCGTGGTACACAAACTTGCAAAAGGCGTCGACGCGGAGGCAGTCGCTGCGGTACATGTCGAGCGCGACGCCGAGCGCGATGAGGTGCATGTCGGCGATGGACGGGAGGCCGTACGCGTGCAAGAGCGTCTGGTAGCAGATGCGCGCGAGCGAGTTGGCTTTGAGCGGCTTGGTTTCGCGCTTCCGGCGGTAGAGCTTCTCGGCGTAGACGTCGGAAATGAGTTTGAGCACGACGCCCAGCGGCTTCTTGCAGTACTGCGCGAGCTGGTCCGAGTTGATCTTCCACGACGTGACGAGCGATGCGAACGCGTTGGGCACGACGCTTCGGTCGAGTTTCTTCTTGTTTTTGGATTTCTTGACGAGCGCCGTGACCGTCACCGGCGCCTTGCGCACTTGGAGAGGCTCGTCGTCGTCGTCGCCGCCGCCCATGCCGCATGCCTAAACCACATGATGATGGTGTGTAAGGATCGCGTCGGCGTACGGTCGCGGGAAGCGCGGCGCCGTCGTCGTCGTCCGTCTGGCACGCGACGCTCGCCGTGCCCCCGGGTAGTGACCGCACCGATCGTTCGTGGAGCGAGCTGTCGCTAAAGCGGCGGAGACCGGACGACGACACGGGCGTCGAGGAGACGCGTCGGTCGGAAATCTCGCGCAGTGCGAAGAGCGTGTGGCGCGCCGACGGCGCCTACGATTCGACATCAGCGATAAATAGCAACGGAGAGAGAGAGGACCTTGGCGCCGGTCGGCGGCATCGGGCCAAACGCGCCTTCGACGATATCGTCGAGCAGCTGCGCCTGGCCCGTCGCGTTGTACGTGGCGACGACGTTGGTGACAAGAGCTTCGAAAGTCGACGTGGACGCGCGCCGCATCGCCCGCTGCAGCAATTGCGCCACGTCCTCGGCGCTGAGACCGGACACGAGCTGCATCTCGAGCGACAGCGACCCGTTCGGAACGACCTCGGGCATGGACGCGGCGAGCGACTGCAAAATGACCGCCCGCGCCTCGGGCTCCAGTTGACACAACACCTCGAGCGTCGACGCTACGGTTTGCCCGATCTCGACCAAGTGTGGTGGCGTGTGGGCGACCGACGTGGTATCCGGTGCGAAGTCAGTTGACGGGGCAGACGTGGTTGCGGTCTGTCCGGCGGCGGAGGCTTCTACGCCGGCGGGGGCCGGCATGATGCCAGCGGCCGGCATGATGCCAGCGGCCGGCACGATGGCGGGAGCAGCTTGCGTTACCGTCGGGCGAGGCGCTGCCGGGTTGCCGCCGGCGCTGACGGCGAGGCCAAAGAGCTCGCGCACGTAGCGTTGGATGGACTTGACGGGTTTGGCCGTCTCGAGGTCGACGCCGTGGGCTTCGAGGTCCTTGGCGATGGCTTCCATGGTCGCAAAGAGGACGTTGAGTCGCATTTCGTTGGTCATGCTTGTCACGTGTTTCTTGAACGGCTCGAGGAGGAACATGCTATGGGCGTCCAGCGCGAGACGGTCCGCGAGCGAGAGCGACCCGAGGTAGTCGGCGACGATCGCTTTGGCGCCGTCGCTGTCGCCTTTGAGGAGCATCTTGAGAAGGCGCCGCTTTCCGTCGCGCGATACGATTGAGTGGACAGCGTCAATGATAAAGTGCTCAAGATTGACGTGCTCGGACGTTGTCCACGTCTTGAGCAGCTTGCACACGTCGTGGAAGAGCGCCTTTTGCTCCTACAAATGAATCGACATCAGCACAGTACGACGGGAGGTACATCGACCAGAGGCGCAAAGGGGGTTGGGGACGCCGCCAAAGCCGTCAGCGCTTCGTGCAGGCGGCGGGGGGTAAGCATGGCGGCGGATGCAGGGCGCGGCGTCGTTTCCTCGGCGAGCTGCCGGCGCTGGTCGGGCGAGAGCGCCAGCATGAGGTCGTTGAGGAACTGGTACTCGTGGCGCGCACCAAGAGCGACCTCCAGAAAGCCGGCGCGGCAGCCGGGCGAGCTGCAAAAGTACATGTGCACGAGGCACATGGGGTCGGTCACAAGCGCGAGCGAGTCGCGGATGCTTGCAAGCTGCGCTTCGTCGCGCCCGAGGATGCTGGCGAGGACGAGCGCTTCGCCTTCCAGCCTACTTCAATGTGTTAGTACAGCTGTCGACCTACCCCGGTGCACCCAAGAGTGTTGAAAATGGCTTCGGTGCGCTCTACGAGGCTCAGCTCATCGAGGAGACCGGCCACGACAATGCCCTTCGTGTCGGTGTCGAGGGCCTTGGCGAGCGCTAAGATCTGACGGCAGATCTGCGACGGTGTCGCGTCAGCGGCCCCTTGGCCGGACTGGCCGGCGAGCTTGCGCCCGAGCGCTTTGCGGATGTCGTCAGGAAACCGCTGCAAGCCGCGTTCAATGAGGTCTGCCGAGCACACTTCGAGGACGCGGATCTTGTCGGCGTCCGTGAGGTGCTACAGAGAATACCAGTCGATCAAGACAGCAACGTGGCCGAGAACACGTACGCGCACAGTGGTTCGCCGGGGCAGCCCGAGGTGCGACGTCAGCGCCTGGTCGTGCTCGAGCTCTCGGAGCTGCACGAAGAAGGGCTTGCGCTGGTAGAAGGACCGGACAACGTCGCCGATCGCGCTGGGCGTCGCGTCGGACGCATGCTGGGCCATGTGGAAGTGCAGTCCGTCCGACTTGGCGCCAAAGTGCGACGAGCCGTAGATGCTATACTCTACGCAGCGACGACTAAAACATCCGCCAGAAGCATGTGGTCGCACCGAGGCCGATCACAATCTTCTGCAGCAGCGACTTGTAGCTGCCGAGGATGCCGGGCATTTTATACAGCGCTGCAAAGCACGCAGCTGTCTCAATGACGTTCGGCCGACCGGCCTCGGCTGTGAAATTGGTGAGCTGGTCGAGCTTGTACTCTGTGAAGAGTGCGAAGGAGGTAAACTGGCCTTTCTCGGCCTCGTACGTTTGGAGCCAGTGCTCGACCTCGGCGTCGGCGCAGAGATACCGCTGCGCCTGCAGAATGTCGCGGCCCGGCGCGTTCGCCGGCGGCAGCAGCGTCGACTTGAACGAGACAGGCGACGGGTCGGTTGTCATGGGTCGGGTGTCGACGATGGGCTTGCAAGGTGACGGCTCTTCGGCCAAATGGCCACCGAGAAGCACGTGGTCGATCTGCATTTTGATGCTCGAGAGGCGCTGGTCCAGCCGGTCCGCCTCCAAGCTCGTTTGGATGATCGGGTGTACAGCGCCGCCCGCCAGCGGCTTTCTACGCAGCACACCATGAGCCGTCATGCGAGCGCTGCATGTTAGTACAGGTCGGCGCGCTTGCGTCGGTATTTGTTGGGCTGCGCCGCCTCCAAGATCGGGTTGACCTTGAACGGCTCCATGGCCCTAACTCGGCGCATTGGCGATGGTCATCAACATGTACGCTGTCGCACCCCGTCCGCTCTTGGTTGTTGTCGCGTCGCAGCGCGTCGGCTACATCGGACCCATGAGCGTTTCGTGAGGAGGCACAGCAGTAGCCTACGCGCCGGCTTGGCCGCCGCCCGGGGCGAGGTGCTGTTGGACGCTGTTGTCGAGCGTCGGAGTCCCGGCGCGCGGGGCTTCTTGGGCGAAGGCTGCTGGCGCCCGTGCATTTGGACTCCACCGTTTCTCGGAATCCCAACTGCAGCGTAACGCATGTCGACCTGGAGGACGCGATATCGTCACGTCAAGAGAACGCGAGCGATGGCCGAGTCGCAGGCAAGCCCATGCGCCGCTAGCATCGCTTTGGATCCCGTTCCATGAGCCTCTTGTCCTTCGTTTGCCAACGAACCTCGCTTCGACTACGAAGTTGCGGTTTTCGACTAAGATGAACTACACGTCGACTAAAACTGCAATGACAACCGTGGCCTTTCCCGCATCGCGCGTTTCTCTGCGTTGATTGGCCAAAAATCGGACTCTAAACGACAGGATTGGTCCATTTAAAGCTGTACAGACCCACGCTGTATTTAAATTTCGGGCTCGGGCGATGGAGGACGTCGACGACGAGGCCATCAGCATCGAGCTCCTCCGCGAGGACAACCTCATGCTTGAGGAGCGCATCGAGGCCATGAGCAAGAGGTGCACTGCCATGCAGCAGGCCAAGCTGGAGGCCGAGGCGCGCGCTGCAGCGCTCGATGCGGACCTCACCGCCCTCCGCAAGGTTGCTGGCCAAGAGCAAGTCGATCCCAACAGCGCTAGCGACTGGCACGACGAGCGCGCCAAGCTTCTTGATGAGGTTCAAACGCTTCTCAAGGTGAAGGAGGTCAACGAGAAGCGCGTCGGCGATCTCTCCAAGGACCTGCAACGCCTCTACAAGCGGCTCAAGACCGCCGAGCCGACGACCGACGACTCGGAATGCGTCGAGCCGCTGCTGAAGGACCAAGCGACATGGCAGAAGCAACAACAGCTCGTGCAAGACCTGCTGCGCCAGTGCAAGGAGAAGGTGTACGCCGAGAAGCACGCTCACAAGCGGCGTCGCGTGGACCCCGACACCTCGGAGCACGACAAGAGCCTCCAAGAGGTCATTGCGCACTTCAAGACCGAGACATGCGAGCGCAACGAGTTTGAAAAGCTCGAGGCGCAACTGCTGCAGGAGCGTCTGAGCGAACTGGAGGCTGAGCCAAGGTCGGAGCCGCGGTCGGTCGACGCGTCCGACCTCGAAAACCAAATCGCAAAGCTCAACGAAGAGAACAAGAAGGGCAGGCTTTTGTCTCGGCGCTCCAAGACGATTTGAAGCGGCTCGCGCACGAGAAGCTGCAGCTGGCCAAAGACATGCAGGAGGCGCAGCGACGCATCCAGGCGCTCACGATGGACAACCTCCAGTTCAAGCTCGAGAAGAACGAACTCAAGCACCAGGTCCAGAGCGAAGTCACCAAAAGCGCAGCGCTGCAAGATCAGGTCGACGATGCCACGCGGCAGCTTGCAGAGGCCAGCGCGGAGGCGAGCCAGCTCCACGACCATCTTGTGGCGGCACAAACACAGCTCCTCGCTGCTGAGGCCGAAATCGCAGACCTGCACAAGCGGCTCCAGGAGGCCACTGCGTCCAATAGCGCGGTTGCTGCTGCACGCTACGACCTCGAGACGACCCTCGAAGCGGCAGAAAAGGCGCGCGATGAGCTCGCCGAGGCCAAGGGCTTTTGGGAAGACAAAGCCGCCAAGCTGGAGCGGGTCGTGCTGCAGTACGGCTCCGAAATCCAGTCGCTCAAGCTGTCGCTGGCCGACGCCGAGGCCGCGGGTCCGCCCGAGCACACACCGGCGTCCGTCGCGCACGGCCAGTCCATGGTGCAGCAGTTCTATCTGCGCTACTACAAGGCGGCCGAAACGTCGCACCGGTCGCTCCTCGACGCCACGCGCGCCAAAGACGCAGCGCTCGCAGCACAAGGCGCCGACCTCACGCACATCCGACACGTGCTTTCGTCCATCCTACACGCTTCACTGCCCGACGACGTGTCCGTCGCGCTCCAAGGGCTTCTCGCGAGCTTTGAGAGGCCAGAACCACCAACCGAGTCAATGTAGAACCGCATTCTTAGTGTATTTACAGCATCTTGTCGGTCGCGAGGATGATGGCGTCGAGCGACGTGGTCTTGAGCTCGCCGTCCATGACATTGACGGCGGTTGCAGCCCACGGCACGCGCACTGCGAGGAGCGGCGTCGCCGGTCCGTCCGTCTCGTGCATCTCGTCCAGCATCGGGAGCAGGTCATGGAGGCCGTAGACATTGATCCACGCTTTTGCTGCCGAAACACCGGACGTCCGCACCACGTCGAGGAGCTTGGCGCGCGCCAACGCATCAATCTGCGCCGAGATATCGAGGTGCTTCTCGGATTCGTCGGGAAAGAGCAGCTAAGCAAGCACGTTCTGTCTCTGCCGGGTGGAGATCTATTACCTTGACTTCGTGCATGGTGCGAAAGTAGATGGCAAAGGCCTCGAGCGTCGGCGCGTCAAAGCACTGCGGGAACGCCGTGCGCTGCACGTGGGGAAAGATCGTCTATCCATTGGCTTGAAACATTGATACTTGCAACAGAATTCGGCGCACGTCGGTGACAAAGGCCTTGGTGCCGAGGCGGCTGTAGTCGTCCGGGTACCACGTCTTCATTGTGCTCGCCATGCGCAGCGCCTTCATCGCGTCGCCGCGCTCAAACTCGGCGGCGATCAGTTGGTGGAGCTACGCGTGACGCTGCGTTCGTCACCAAAGTGCCCATGTCCGTACCTGGTTCCAGAAATGGACTTGGTGCGCTGCGTCCTCGGTCGCCATCGCGTCCGAGAGCACCTCGCGGCCCTTGGCCGTGCACTGGAAGCGCGTCGCTGTCTTGCTCAAAAGGCGCTCGAGGCGCGGGTAGAGCTGCGGCAGAAGCAGCATCGTCTCTTCGCGGAGGAGGCCCGTCGCCACCATGTCCATGAGCAGTTGGTGCCACTGCGCACTCAGCCGCACCTACAATTGGAAGGTTGATACGAAACCCAAGAAATAACCTTGTCTACAAGCAGCGGGAGCGTCGGGAGTCCGTCTTTGGAGAGCGCGAAGCGCACAAGTGCGTTGCGGGGACCCGTGACCGCGACCGCGTCCAAGTGCGCCTCAATGAAGCGCGACTCACTCAGCGGATCGTTCATCGCGTGCAAGTCGGCGGCACTTAGCAGCTTGAGAACGACCTCGGTAATGTACAACGGCGAGACGCGCGCCAGCACCACGAGTACCTAAGCGTTGTCGTGACACACACGTTGAAATATTGATAGAATGCGTACCGGGCACGCTTCCAGCGACAGCGAGAGTTGGTCCAAACACAACTGCGACGAGACGTCGACGCTTTGGTAGATGGGCCTACACAAGAAGCTGAGACAGAGAAGCCGCCGAGTCGAGTCGACTTGTGGATCCAGTAGAGCGATCGGATGAGCGTGATGCCATGCGCCTGGATGAGGTCTTCGCGCGCGAGGAGGTGGCGGAGGGCTTGCTGTCGCACGATCGCGTTGACGTCCTCCAAGCACAGCTGCGGCACGAGGTGGGCGAGCGCCGTTCGCGTCTGGACGGCGCAACACATGAGCGCCGACTCGAACGCGTCCTATCCACCACGGTGAGTTTGATGTCGGGTCGTCGGTGCTATGGACCAGCGTCGGGTCGTCGAGCTTGATGTGGCCGAGCTTCTCGACCGCGTTGGTCAGGGTGCTGTCCAGCGCCAGCGCCGTGGGCTGGCCGACGCCCATTTGCACGACGCGGAGGCCGCACTGGAAGAGACGAAAGGCATCGTCCGCCGTCTCGACGCGCATCGACATGGCGTGCAATAGCTCCGAGAGCGACACGACGCGGTCCACGGCGATGCAGCCGCGAGCTTCGTTCTCCTCGAGCTCCGCCTAGCATTCTGCTTTCTCAACCTTGATGTTCGTTGATGCCAACTTACGGCAATCGAAGCAAGGAGCTCGCGCATTGCGTCGCGGTGCTGGCCAAGAAACGCGCCAAAATGGAGGCACAGATCGCGCCAGAAAATGTCCGCGGGCTCCGTGCGCAGCCTATGGAACGTTATTGGCATGTGCTGCCACTCCGCAGCGATACCGTGCGAGAATGACGCAGAACGTCGACGCGACTTCCTTGCTCGTCTCGCCCGACATGATGGCGTTCTCGCACCCAAACGACGACGTCTCGAGGCCTGGGACGCGTCATGAAAATGGTGCAAGGGGTAGGGTTCGCACCGAGGCAGATCCAGAGCGCTTCGGCGAGCGCGCGGCTCGTCTTGAGGTTGCTTGCGACGGTCGGCAGCAGCAACATGGGCAGCCACTGGTACACCTGCAGGTGCCCGAGGAGATAGTGGCGGTGCATCACGAGCGCGAGGAGCTCGGTGAAGCGCTCGGTCTCGTAGTACCCGTGCCGAATGGCCTGTGTGACGCTGAAAAAGACGTTCTTGCCCAAAGCGGCGCTCGGGACGCGGTCAATGTTGAGATAGTAGAGCCGGCAGGCTTCGCGGATGAGGTTGACGACCTCTTGGTCGCGCTGAGACCCCGACACGCCCTGCAGCGGTAGCTTTGCGAGCTCCGATCTACGCACGATATAAGAACCGAGCGTAACTATCCCAAGATGAAAAGGGACCGCGCATAGGGCAAGAGGAGGTTGGTCCACGCCGCCTCGGAGAAGGCGTGGCTACTGCGCACGACGACGCACAGGAGCGAGTACTCGTCGGCGTCGAGCGCAAACTGGAGCAATTCGTCCGACGGACTTTCGAGCAACACGAGCTCGACTGTTTGCAGAAAGATGTCGGGGAGCATGCGTCGGCTGCCCTCCATCGGCATCCTAGACGAGAGACAGGGCTAGGCAGGCAAGAGCACGCACGCCTCGTACCGCTGAAACGTGGCCAGCGCCGCGCCAAAGACGCGGATGAGGGCCGACACGTGCGCGACCGCGTCCAGCGCATCGACGCGGCTCGTCTTTTGGTTGAGCAGCGCTTCGTACAGCGACTCCCTATCCCGACGACGTCATCAAGCTCTCGTCTTTTGCCGCATGATGACCAACATGAGGGCGAGGCAAAAGGCGACGCGGAGAGGCGTCTGGTCGACGCTGCCGACACGCATGCGCGTCACGAGCACGTCGAGCGCGCCTTTCTGCCACAGGACGCCGAGGCGCCAGAGCGGCACGAGCGCCGTCATGTCGCGCGCCACGCGAGCGAGCGTCGAAGCGACCGACCCGGGCTCGGTCAGCGGCGTCAGCACGAGAACGACGTTCAGCGCCGCGTCGCGAACGTTCGCGTCGGTCGAGATGGACGCGAGGACGTGGACGAGGGCGGTCGTTTGAAGGCAGAGACCGAGGTCGCCATTGAACGCGTTGGCCCAGTCGGCGTGTTCGCTCAAGACCGCCCACGTGCGCACGAGCTCCTCGAGGGTCT